CTATGAGTCTATGAGTCTATGAGATGACCTCTTGAGGTCCCTTCCAACTCTGATATTCTATGATTCTATGATGAGGGTGTTGCGTCTACACATTGATGTCTATACAAAACTGTGACTGATTTGAAGCTCTGAATCTGTGGGGACCTGTCTTAACAGTTAACCTCTTTCCATTTTTTATTTCTCATTTGTAGCTCAGGTGTGCAGACTCTGCCCCATAATGCCAAGGTGCACTACAACTATGCCAATTTTCTGAAAGACCAGGGTCGTAACAGTGAAGCCATCTATCACTACAAAACTGCCCTCAAGTAAGTTCCTTGAAACACCTATTAAGACTGTTTACTTAAACTTTCCTCTTCTGGCACATGAAGTGCTCTGTTTTCTCTTTTCCTAACAATAGACAGCTCCCTGGTAGCAGTTATAGCTTAACTTGAAAGCTCTTTGACTTAGTGTTTCTATGTCATTAAATGAGGTAATTTGGCATCTCTCCCACAGTGTGTGTGTGTTAGTTAAGTATGTGGCATTCAGAAGTTTCCATAGCTACACATTGAGCAGTGAAGTGTCATTTACTCGGCTGAATGTACACTGGTAAATGGGAGGGAGTTGCCATAGCTGTATTTGCAGGTGCTAAGGCCATTTATATTAATAAATTATTAATTGTGCATGTATGAAAAATATCTGTAAGTCTGTAATCACCACAGTAGATAGTGATAATACTTAACACTTATACAAAGCTTTACATCTTCAAAGCACCATACAAACACTCGCTATTAATTTATCCTCAGAACATCCCAGCCTGATAGGTGAGTAAATAGTATTATCCCCATTTTACAGATGGAGAAACTAAAACAGCAAGATGAGTTGACTTGGCCAAAGCCACATAGTAAATTTATATCAGAGCCAGGATTATAACCCATGGCCTCATGACACCCAATCCAACACTTACTCCTACAGACCACGCTGCCCGTAGGTATGGGTATAGCAGCGCAGCATCACTGTGGTTTAGGTTGAATCCTAAATTCTGTTTAAAGATTCATCTTTCTAAATCCTCTAAAACTGGCATGCTTGATCAGATTCCTTTGAAATTTGGTGTGCCTCAGCATCATGGCTGGGTCATGGGTGTCCAGACCTAGTAGTCAGAACCAGATTCTGCAGTCACGAGACCGGAGTCAGCTGGGTCGAGATACCAGGAGGTTAGAAGTAGGAGACAAACTGGAGATCACGACAAATCAGATGCCATGAGTGAAGCTGGAGCAGGTAGCAGGACTTGGGGAGGGAGCAGAAGGCACACAGAGCAAAGTGGAGCCCAGCTATTCAGACAGCTTCCTGTTCCTGCTGCCGGCTTAAGTAGGGCCAGCAGGCCAATCGGCTGTTCTGGGATTCCACCAATTGGACCTCAGGGGGTGGAGCCTCACACTGGGGCTGGGCTTTGTGAATCCCAGGTAAGCTATTGTCAGCAGGTTGCCAGGTGGAGGGCTGGAGCGTGGCTGCTCCCATGAACTGTAGTCATCTTGGGATTGAGACCTGTGTGGGTCAAGACACTAAGGAGGGTGAAGGATAGGGTTATTGACCCAAATTTGGGGTCATTTGAGCTAGGGATTGTGGAAATATGCTTCCCCTTCTCCAGATAGCCGATTTTCAAAAAGTTTCTCAGGTGTATGTAGGGTTTTTTTTTGTGTGCTCAGAGCTAGAGATCAGGCTATTGATAAAATGACGGTCAGAATAGTCTCAATCTGTCAAGTTTTATCAAAGGTAGTGTGTGGAGCCCGCTAAATCTTTTGGGGACCCAAACTAAGAACAGTATTTAAGAAAAGGTATGTTTTTACAGTGCATGTGCACTAATCCAGAAAAATGGATAGAGGGCTTCCATTCCCACCAATTTTTACATTCTTGTCAAGCTAGACTGTTGTTAGTGCTCTAAAATCTGAATGGTTACTTGGATTGCTTGGAAATTTGTTGTGCCCCGTGGAGGCCTGGGGCAGTGTTCATGATCCAAATTTGGGGTCAATTGATCAATGGGTTCCTGAATTTCAGAACTCCCCAAAACAATTTCCTTCTGTTGCCTAGTGCAGCCTGGCCCTACAGCTCAATGAACGGGCACTCTTGCAGCATGTAGCCTCCTTCTGAGTTGTAGAAATGGGGAAGGGGAGCCTCTCCTAGAGGAGCGAACACAAGAAAAAGAACAACAATAAAATACCAAGAGAAAAACAGAAAGCAAAAACCAAAGATACAAAAAAAAAATACACACCAGAGAGGAAAGAGACAAAGACAGAAAAAGAGAAAAGGTGGACAGAAAAAAGGGACAGAAGAAAGGCATGTAGGACATAGCTTGGTTCAAGGGAACATGTGCATATAGAGGGTATCATCCCTTGCAAACTAGGGGTTCTGACAGTAAAATGGCTGGGAACTTTTTCTTATTGATCTGCAGCTTGCTTAATCCCTAAATGTGGGGGAAGGACAGAAATTACCTCAGTCCAATTAGACTGTGTCTGTGCTAATACCCTCTGGCCAACTAAGGAATAATATTGATGGCTCTGAAACGGAGCCCCACCCAGTCACGATTAGCTGGAAGGATGGTGTTTGCTGCCACCCACCATGTCTGGAAAATGGATGTGAGAGGCATTGGACAACATTTTGGATATGAACAGGGATACTGAGGACATCACAGGTTTTTTTTAAAAAGTATTAGCAAACACTACCCATCTGTAAAAGTGAACTTACTAGTACCCATGGCTACTTAGCCACTCCCTCCTCCCCGTGTTGACACTGCCACGAGTGCAGGCATCTGCTTGTGTGTTACTCAGAGTTTATAGTATTTGCTGACTAGATTTTGCTCAGCTGTGTCTCTAGCTCAGCAACACCCATTTATCATAATTATGGTGCTGTCTTCTGCTCTGCAGTATTTCAGTTAGAGGCTATTTTAGAATTGATTGCAGGCCATGTTTATTAAACGTTATTAGATATGTAGCCTGTGATGAGGATGATAGCTGTAGTGCTTGTGCCATGTAAAAGACTGGATTTTCAAAGGAGCTGGGTAGCTTCAGCTCCTTTTGACTTCAGTGCTTGGCGCCTTAGAAAATCAAGCTGCGGGTGCTCATCCTGAGGCGTTAACATTCTAATCCGGCTAAATAAGATACATAGGAAAACAAGTGTTGTCTAGTGCTCGGAGCTCAAACTAAGAGTAGGCTCTCATAGGTTCTGCTTCTGATTTTCCCACTGACTAGAAATGTGACCTTGATCAAATCATTTAATCTCTCTGTGCCTCAGTTTTCCACATCTGTAAAATGGGGATATTAATATTTATCTATATAGTGCCACTCCTACTCCACTTCTCTGTCCATGTTCTCTCTTCTCCTATCTCCTTTTCCTCCATGTTGTCTCTTCTGCCCCAGCACCCGCTCCCTGACTGTATGTCAGAGAATGTTGGGGGCCTATATACTAAAATATAAAGCGGTGTAGGTACAGAATTGTAAAGCTACTTCCACCAAGAATGCCATACTATAAATTCTGCGCAATCGCTCCCAGTTGTGAAAAGTCCTACATCATTTGGTATGCGGGAGCCCACATCCTTCCAACCAGCCTGTATGCCTGGAAGGAGCACTGCGATTGTTCGCACTTTTACGTGTGCCTTTATGGCCACAGATTCGATGGTACTTTCGAGGTGTCACCCACGCATTGATTTTAGTTCACAAACTCAAGCCTGAGGCCAGTTTATTGCAATACATACCAACGCGTTGAGGGTTGCAGTCAGAAACTACACCCACGATCACAGCTCGCAGGCTGCTTTTATTCTTACAAACCGCAAACATAGTACAAATTATACGTCAATAGGAAAATAAAAGAGTTGGGGGTCTGTTCCCTTTTTTTCAGTACCTTCCTCATTATTCTTCCGAGAATTGGGTGCATATTGGGTGAGGGGCTTCTCGAGAAGCCTGATGCGGTCAAAACTTGGCACCAGCTAGGGTACATTCTTGGAAGAGTGCATGGTACCTTCCGGGGCGTTATGGTCAGTGTACCGGGAAGGGGTTGACAGGATGCCCAAAGAAGGTATCTAATTGGCTAGTTTTGCATTTAGCTGGAATTACAGGAGAAGTTAACATTTAGCTAGAACTAATTTCTTCACACAAGCAGTTATTATATTTCATCACAAGCGGTTATCATATTTCCACAGCCATGAACATATTTCATTAGTGCTGCTTCTAGGGCTTTTTATTTCTTTCCCTCCTTGCCCCCCTCCCCCCCCCTCTGGTCATGACCCTTGACCAAGTTTGGCAGGAGGCTGTGTCATTTAGCCTAGTTCAGGCTTGTGGCCTGCAGGGCGGGCCTATAAGATGAGTCTTCACGGATGTTCTGCTCGGTGCAAGGGAGGCCAGCCACGCCTATTCCCCCACAGTGGGTAGGTCTTGCACCATGCATTGAAATTCTACAAATGTCAGCTCTGTTAAACCAGTGGAAAAGGCAAGTAAATAACATGGTGATAGATGTAGTATAGGATCCTAGATACATGCCATAGATACACGCAAATTCCAGCGCCAGGCTTCCTCTAGTGAGTATAACCTGCTCCCTAAGGTTCCAGTGTAGAGAATGTTAGCAAAAGCACCCAAGCTGATCTCAGCTATGGCACCAGCACTTTCTCTCAATGTGACCGTAATACTAATGATACTGGGGCGAATTCTCTGTTGGTGTAAGTTATTGGAGTCCCATGGAGGCCAATGAGTTTCTTACAATTTACATTGGCAGAGAATTTGGACCATTCATGTTATGTTTGGCAGTCTAGTGGTAATCCACTGTCCTACCACATATGGATCTAAATTTATCTACTGATCTTTTATCCCTGTAGGACCACTGTATTCAGAAATTACCAGTAATTTACACCACTTTAAAATAATCTCCTTTAAGAGCAACATTGAGGGGTTCAGAAAGGAGCCTCATTGAACCAGCCTCCACTAGAAGGGAAGATTGCTGTACCACAGAGTGTGTGAAAGTGCGGTGAAGGAGGTTTAGAGAGGCTATCATGGGACTTCAGTGACACTCCCAAAATGACAGAGGAGACTAGTGGTAGCACAGCAGGCTACCATATAAAGAGTGAGAGATCAGCAATCATGGTCCCTTCCTCCTGTGTCAGCGATGGTGGGGAGCACTGCAAAGGTTGTGTATGCTGTTGTTTGGAGGTAGGAAAAGGAGAGCCTCACCTCGCTGTACAGCAGCTCCTTTGCGTAAGGAGCAGTGTTGGTGGCCCATTGATCATTTTAGCTTGCTTTCAAAGTTTTATGGCAAATTGTAATTGATGTAGTTTTTGTTGCATTTC